TTTATATCTCTGAAAAGAGAAGTCCACATACAAAAATACTGCAGCCATACTACTACACTGTTCACATATGAGTGATTTTGAAAATATACTTTTTTTTTACATGATTTAACAGATCAAAAACAGTTTTCCGTGTTTGATACTCTGATCAAAACACGCGGGATGTTGGGAGAACACGAGAGGAGCGTAGGAAACCACGACGCGTAGCGGAGCGGTTTCCAGCTTCTCGAGTGTTCTCCCAACATCCCAAGTGTTTTGATCAGAGTATCAAACACAGAAAACTGTTTTTGATTTGTTTTATAAAATAACAAACCCGCGAAAAGATCGAAAAAAAGCAAAGTCTAAGTAAATTCTCCCTACGTGCCGTCTTATTCAAACTGACCAATGAGCGCGCGCGATAGATTAAAAATGACGATAGCGTGTTTTGATACTCTCATCAAACATGGTTTTCGACCAATCATAGTGCGCGTAGTATCCCAATTATTTTATAAATACACTTTAAATATGATGAACTTCCGCCTAGGATAGAAATGAGACTTTTCTATGAAGATATATGGCAAAGCCGAAGATRTGAAATAGCGATTTCTCTGGAAAAAAACGTTTTTTTCAAACAATGTTTTTAAAAAATATTTTTACAAAACAATGGTTTGTTTGGAAGCCATCAACCTTTTCATCCACTGACTTCAAACTTAGTAAACGAAAAAGATTCCGTTTTTAAAATTATAATTGTCGGTTATCTCCACAACTATTATTTTAATAATGGTTTCCATAGTGATCCAATTCGAAACAACTGAAATCTGCAGCTCTTTTTGCATATGTTTACGAAATAATTCAAAGGTGGAAGATGAAAAATCTTTTGGCAGGATGGCTAGAAAAATATTTGAATAATGCTTAGAAAATTTATATTTTTTATTTATGTTTTTTTCTCGGACTATCCAAAGTTGTTCTAAACTGCACGCTATGAGATGATAATCACACTTTGAAATTCCGTGTAAAATCCCGYGTGAAAATTTCAAAAACAAGCGGGCTAAAGGATATTAAGATAATACTGGGATGCTGTGTCGATGAAGCCAAGTTCACGAACATACTAATAGCAGAAAAGCAATAAAACATCAGGGAAAAATACACAATCTAATGACCCCCTCTTGGTGGGAAATTTTACGATGTCATTTTTTTTTATCTTTGAAAAGATAGGGCTTTWAAACACTCGTACAATCACAACACAATGGATTGATCGCAATTGGCCTATTTATGAGCACAGATTGTTGTGTGCTTGGTTTTCTAATGAGGTCGCCGCTCTGTTTTGGATATATTTTGCTTTTTCTATACCTGTWACTCAAGACACAGCGGGAAAAGATTTACTGTCGATAAGTCAACCTACTTCAAAATCTAGAAAATTTGAAGATTTCTCAGATTACAAGGATACGAACACTGTTCGTCTGAGACAAAAATAAAAAGTAGAATACACTTGGCAGATTGTAACGAGAAATCTAGATTAATCACTTGAACTTGATACGATATGCTCAAAATTACATTYTTGGATCTACTGATACTTTCCTAAATATTAAATTAAAGAGGTCCTTTCAATACCGACAAATCGTTAAATAAAAACAGCTTTTTAAGTATATTGGGAACAGTTTTCAACCTAATTTTTGCGAAATGTTTAAGATTATGTTAAGAGTTTAGAGTCGAAAACTGTAACAAATTAGCCGGGTAAAATAAGTAACTTGGATATAAAAGCAAACAACTTATCCAACTCACACGACATAACGATTTACACCGTGATTATATTTTTTCCAATTCAGAAAAAATCCAGGCGACAAAACCTATTAATCATCCACTCCTGCGATGGTAAAAATTTCAAAAGAAAAAAAAAAACAATTGAGCCGAAGTTCTACACACAAGCTACCGCGAAATGGCTTCTGCAATTGAGTGAWAATTAATTCACTAGGGTTTTTAATGAACGGCTTTAGAGTATCACAAGATAAGAGACAATTAAGACAACTTCTCGTAAATCAGACTATAGTACACAGCTGAGATGGAAATGATTTATAATTTTTCAATTTTTTTGAAAGACTATTTTTAAGAGCATTGACGTGGGTATAAATAGCACGAACGAACGTTTCTTTTTCAAACGTGTTGGAGCTGTTACACAAGGTGTCTGTTCTGAAAAATGCGTTTACTTCTTGCTTCGTTTTTGCTTCTAGCAGTCTTTAGTTTTGTAAAGGCTTTTCCAGCCACGAAAGACGGTAAGACTTAGTACTCTTAAGATCTTGTCCTTGTCCTTCTTCATCTTCTTGTCCTTCTCCTAGTTCATCTTGTTGTCCTTGTCCTTCTTCATCTTCTTGTCCTTGTCCTTGTTCATCTTCTTGTTCTTGTCCCCGTCCTTGTTCATCTCGTTGTCCCTGTCCTTGTTCATCTTGTTGTCCTTGTCCTTGTTCATCTTGCTGTCCTTGTCCTTGTTCATCTTGTTGTCCTTGTCCTTCTACTACTTCTCCTTCTTCTCCTTCTTCTCCTTCTTCTCCTCCTTCTTCTTCATTCTTCTTCTTTCGCTTTTTTTACGGTCATAGTCCAGACTCGTACGTTCTAGCATATTTACTCAAATATAAGTATAAGGTCTTCTTCGAAAGTGGTGCCTGTCATCTCTTAACATCCTCGGATTGCTCCATGTGTTTCTATCTGTTTTCTCTATCTCTGTCTCTGTCCAKAGCTTTCTCTATCTCTTTGTCTCTTTCTCCTGCACTGCTCAGTCTTGTAATCAGTSGACATTAAACAGGACAGTTAATAAAATACTAAGATGACACAAATCTTCCCTCCCAGKTCCTCCTATTCAAATCGAAGAAGAAGACGCTGTCGACGATTCACTTGGCCCACCACCTCTTAAACAAGATGACGGACCCAACCAGAAGCATGGTACTTCAGTGAAAATATTCTACTCGTTAAATATATACCTTGCATGGCAACTTTTGGGGAGGGGGGACAGTAAAGTTTTGGTTRCCAGGGTAGGTTGTAATCACGGCTTGAATGACTCAGGTTTCTTCAAAGACAGCATAATGACTTTAAACGGTCGAGGAAAGAGGAAGGGAGAGCTAGTATATGTCAGGATATGGCTGTACCCTCAGTTCTTAATTCATTTTGTTACCAAATGTTTTTGAAACCAGGTTTGGTAACGGACGAGAAGTCTGGACCCGAGCAAGATGATATGGTGGTCATGAAGCGTCGTCCTTACCAGGATTCTGCCTGGCCGAAAACCGGAGACGTAGCAGAAATACCATACACTGCTTCAGGTATGGAAAATAATTAATTTTTGCCTTTTTCACCAGGCTGACAAAATGCTCATCTGCTGAATGGCAACTGAGGTGATTTACAGCAYATGGTGGTCAGTRTTTGAACTTCATTTATAGAAGATGAATTATTTCAAAGACTTTATGAGTAGATTTTAAAAGATTTTCAACATTAAAGGCATACACGTAACACTATTCTTTTCATTTTGTCTAAAGAAGAAGGAATCCAGAAATATCAAACAGATCGAGGGGCTTTCACATGTCTTTTTTCTTGTTCCTTAGTTTATCTATTTTGATTTGCTTTATGAATATTTCAGGAGTYGACACTGACGTTTTGAAAAGAGCCATTGAAGTTTTCAACGCGAAGACGTGTGTACGATTTGTACCGCGTTCAGGTCAAGCCAACTATGTCAAGTTTAGGAGTGCCGGCAGGTAAAGCAAGATTAATATGCTGGTTTCTTTATTGATCTATCCCATCCCATCGATCTCATCTCATCTCATCTCATCCATCCATCCATCTCATCTCATCCCATTTATGCATCCCATCTCATCCCATCCATAACATCCTAACATCCAATTTATCCCATCCCATCCATCTCATCTCATTCATCCATCCATCTCATCTCATCCCATCCATCCACCCATCTCATCTCATCCCCTCCATAACATCCTAACATCCAATCTATCCCATCCCATCCATCTCATCTCATCCATCCATCCATCTCATTTCATCCCATCCCATCCATCCCATCCATCCATCCATCTCATCTCATCCCATCCATAACATCCTAACATCCAATCTATCCCATCCCATCCCATCCACCTCATGCCATCCATCCATTCATCCATCTCATCCAATCCATCTATCTCATCTCATCCCATCCCATTAACCATTCATTCCATCTCATCCTTTCTTCCAATTATCTCACGCAATCCAATCAATCCGCCACCCCAAAATGTCCCCATCACCACTCCATTGGTCCATCCTCATCCACTCCAACCTTGAAAAGACACGCTTCTATGAGCTGTACTCATTTCTGATGATTACTTGCTCGAAGACGTTTAAACGTTATACTTTTCTTTAAAATATTCAGCTTTTTATAATAAAACATATATATATATATATATATATATACAGCCATTTGCAAAAATTATGGCCGTTTCAAATACAAATACAAGTATATCGAAAGTATATCAGACAGGGCAGGATATCTTTCTTGATATTTTTTTCAGGAAGCCCTAATGATAAACAACTCGAAAAAATATATAATGGAGGATATCCCATAACATTTGATATGCTTTTGATATAATTGTATATGTATTGGAAGCGGCCATA